CGTCGGCTGGTACCCTCTGCCTCCTTAGTCTGCGAAAGCGTCACCCCAGTTGGTAACCTCTGCCTCCAAGTCTGGCCCGCGCCAGCGTAGGAGGTGAGCAGTGCGTACTGGGGGACTGACAGCGCAGGACGTGAAGAGTGCATGCCGACAGGGGGTCCTGAAAACGTAGTTACTCAGGTAGACTATGTTGAAGCATTTCTTCCATTGCCCCTGGCGGAGCGGCCCCGACCGCGCGCCGACCGCCCACCTCTTGCAGGGCCCTGGCAAACAGGTGGCGCAAACGCGCGCCCGAAGGCACTGAGCGCGCGTCGGAGCCTTCCAGCTGGATCGGCATCTGCTCCGTCTGGTCCACGTTCCGGAGGCTGAGATGCACCTTCTTCTTGTTCTGGTCGTAGCACTTGGTTATGCGGAACAGCCGCACCTGATCCCCCGGGCCTCCTCCAGCGAAGCTCTGCAAAACCATTCCTGGTACCACAGGAGCAGCTCCTCGTAGGTTTTTGCCCCCAAACTGCTCGTGCGCTCTAGTAGCTTGCTGGCGAACCCACGAAAGATATGCAGGTGAGGAGGGCCCAGCTGGTGGCCCCGGCCCACGTCGCGCACGTTCTGGCTGCACTTCTGGCCTTCGACGCGGGCGGCTTCTATCTCGGGCAAGGTCGAGTCGAGGAACCACGCGTCGATCCCGAGAGCCCATGGATCCCGCATCATCTGGGTTGTCATGAGCACTTGTTTGATGAGGGCGGCAACCGCGTTCTGTTGTTTCTTGCTGAACCCTGTGTCAGCTAGCGGCCCGAGGCCTTTGTTCCGATCCTTGCGCGGCTTCTTGAGCTTGCCTCCCCCGCCAGTGGGGGGTGGCCCAGCGGCGCCTTGACTGCCTGAGCCTGATGCCGAGCCTTGTGAGGGAGGAGCGCCTTTTGCCTTCTGCTGCGGGGGGGCCTCGGAAGCGACGCCTCCATCTTTCCTCTTGAGCGCCCAGGCAGGTTCCATCGACGTCATCGCGAGGTCGCGGAGGAGGGGGCAAGTGACAATCACGAATATGCAACTGAAGCTGAGCCAAATTCTGGTACGACATCTCACCGCAACCAGGGCACTGCAATGGCACGCTCACGACAAGATATATAGCATGGGCCGAACTAACACCACAAGTACCCGTGCGAAAGGCAGCCTGCACGTGAGCCTTGGCCGACCTCCGAAACGCAAAAGTTTGCATGCAGCACGGGCATTGATTGGTGGCAACACACTTAAGGATGTTCGACGTCTTGCCATGCGTGCCGCCCTTCGTGAACGTGTTATGCATAGTGAGTGCTTTACGTGATCTGAATACCGCGCTACAGTGTGTGCCATCTTCGTTCAAGCAGATGAATTTGTAACGCAGCCCAGCCATGCCCCAGCCCTCCTCCTCCTCGTCAGGGAACTCGCCTAGGTCAATGTCGGGTCCCATGGCCCCCAGTTGGTACATTTTCCGAAAGGCACTAACATCCACGTTAAGAAATCTATGTTTGACGCAATCATCCTCAAAGAGCCTGGTAAGGAACCTCCCCCACATATCCATCCAGTCCTCCATATCAGTAAGTATCGACAAGCACGCAATATCGCACACAAGCCGATGGGCAAAGGGGTTCGCGTCGTTCGTGAGAATGCCGTCATTCATCCTGTCGTACGTTTCAAATTCAAACCGACCGAAGAGAATCGCAATCACCTGCGTGTGGTCCTCGGGGAATCGGATCATCGCTTGATACCATCGAAGCCGCTGTATCAATAATTCGTATCACGTCGGGATGAAACCAAACCATAACCACAGTCGTCGAGAGCTCCAGGAAACAGGGTGAGGGCCCTTCCATTCACAAGCGGCACCACGAGCAATCGACCGAATCTTTCGAAGTAGGCAAGAATCAAGTTCACGTTGCTGAGCAATGGACAACATAAACGGAATCAGCCCAGGAAGGAGGGCTCCGTGGACCACACTGACGAAAATCAAGCGTTTCACCTTCCAAGGAGCCCCACTGCCCCAGAAGTCCTCGTACGCACACCAACCCCTTGCCGCTGCATTTTTGGCAATCACGATCTGCGGTCCAAGCGTACCAGCAGGCATGAGCCGCGGGCCCAGGTAGCGAGCATGTGGGACCACGCGGGCGCCTTCCACAGGGGAGGAGTAAAACAATCGATTATCATGATACCCCTTTTCAGCCAGGGCACCAACACTTGCTTCTTCAGATTCTGCTTGTAGCCATACTCTGACAAGATCTCATCCGTCAGCATTTGTTCAGCAGCCACAGCTTGGATGACTTCTTGTAAGCGTCCCGAGGACAACAACATAAAATAATGCAGGTCGTCGGCATATTTCGACAAAGATGCATCGAATGGGTCGGGTACCAGTGGGCACCTGACCAGTAATTGAGGCTGTGGGGACCGATGACGCCACACATCGATGGGCTTCTGAAAATCCATGCGACATTCATCAGGCGCCGAGGTCTCACCCATCAGCGCCCCCGTAGTAAGTAATAACGGTATGTCGCCATCAACAGCCTCGATGTGGAGCACATGCGTGCGTCGACGATCCTGCAGTAACTTAGCGTCAGCACATGGTAAATATTCATGAAGCACTGCATCCAATCGTTCGTGCGAGCAGCAGGGAGGAGCAGGGGAAGGAGGGGGAGGAACGGGGACGGGTGAGGGAGGGGGAGTTCAAACTGTGGCCCGAGGCGTGTGCGCGGACGACGGGGGGGACCAGGGGACGTAGTTGCCGAAACAAGAAGGGACGCCATGACATCGGGGGAGACATCATGGCCTCGGCCATGATGATATCCGCTCCCCCCTGATGATCACCCCCCATCTTAGCCTCCTGGAAGAGTGAGAACAAACGACAGGAAGGGAAACGGAAACCGGGGAGGAGGCGGCGGGGGAGAAGCAGGATGGAAGACGGAGGGCGGCAGATCTGAGTGGCATCAGCAAGGAGGGGGCGGGACGAGGATGGAGAACAACAAATGAATCACCCTCCTCTTCTTAGATCAACCGAGGGAGCGCAGCTCAACGCGCCAGGTCATCCCCGTCCTTGCCCTCCCCGTCCTTGTGCTTCTCCCCCTCCTCCTCCCCCTCCTCCTCCTCCTCCTCCTCCTCCTCCTCCTCCTCCTCCTCCTCCTCCTCCTCCTCCCGGTCCTCCTCGTCCGCCTCCTCGTCCTCCTCGTCGTCCTCCTCGCCACTGCGCGCTTCTACGCCTCCCCGACCACGGGGGGTGCCGCGCTCCCGATCGCCACGGGGGGAGCCCCACCGTGCCGACGCCGCCTCGAAGCCGAGGCCCGCCCCCCCCCCCCCCGGAGGACGAGCTCTGCGGCGCCCCCCCCTCCGCGCGCGGCGGGGCCGACGCGAGGGCGCCCGTCGTGCGCGGGAGGCCCTGCGCGGGGGGCAGCCTGCGCGCGGACGCTCCGCGCAGGGCGCCCCCGGCGCCTCCTGCGCGCCGCTCACGCCGAGAAGTACGTCGGGCCTGTCCCCCATACAGGGGGATCCTGGACGAAGAAAGAAAACACAGTCAACAGATACCCCCAAGTGGTCAAAACGTACTCCAAGCATCGTCCCCAGACTCGGTTTTCTGCCGTTTTGAGTATATCCCTCCTGTGGAGGGACAGGCCCGACTTCAGCCGAGGATGACGACGCGGGATGGGGGGCACGACGCCGAGGCAGGACGAGGAGACGCGGAGGCGGAGCACGACGACACAGGAGGGACGGGGACGAAGGGAGCGGAGCACGAACGCCAGGAGCATCGACGGAAAGAGGCGGCGGAAAGCGGCGGGAGGGGGGTGGGCAGGAGGCAGAGGAGGCGGAGGAGAGGTGTGGCGGGCGTAAGTGTTTGCCAGTGGTACTTTCCGCATCTCAGCCGTGTTCTCGAGCTCACTGGCAGGGACAAGGGGCGGAGAGGCAAGTGGTGAGAAAATCTGCGCCTGTTCAGCGGCAAGTCCCACATGAGCCGCCGAGCTCTTTCGCGCGCTCGAGGTCAGGGCCCCGATGACATGCAAAGTGCCAGTGCAACTCCTCCAGCGTGCTCGTGCGGATCTCCCTCCTCGTCCCCAGAGCTCCAACGTCATGATGTTTGTCAGAACGTAGGCCCCCAGAGGTCTCGACCCCCTCCCGGGGACCGGTTGTTCATCCCGAATCGGTGTTTGACGGTCCCGAGGCCGGGCGAACGGCCCCACAGACCGGAAAAAACCTCTCGTCGTGGTTTTGTTTCATGACCCGAGGCGGTCTGGGTCCTCCACGTACCTCCCCCTCCCCCTCCTCCTCCTCTCCTCCTCCTCCTCCTCCTCCTCCTCCTCCTCCTCCTCCCTCCCCCCTCCTCCCCCCCTCCCCCTCCTCCTCCTCCTCCTCCTCCTCCTCCTCACCTATGCGTTCGTGCAACCACTGTTGATGACCTACAACTTGCTGTCGGCTGCACGGCCCCTTGCAAGAGAAGGCCGAGAACGATCGGCCCGAGGACGTGGCGGCCTCAGCTGCTGCTAGGGAGTGCGGGCGAGAGGTGGCTACAGAGGAATCATCTAGCGGCATGGATTTGGATACTCCAGCTGCTTGACGCTTTCCACCCTCCTCGCTGCGATCCTGTTTCGCGCCTCTGCACGCCGCGCTGCGCGAATTTACCCAAATGCTCATACAGTCGGCGCGTCGACCTAAGGAACCCTAAATAAGAAACGAGGCCCCTATCTTCCAAAAGTTAAACTTCGATTTCATATCGAAAACCTAAGGAAAACCTGAGGCAAGCTGCGAAACAATTAAGAGAACACGGAGCCCCTCCCCAACGAAAAGGGTTCCTTGTTTAGCGCCCCGACTGTACGTCTCCACATCCGCTGAGCCGACGGGACCCGCAGCCGCCTCGCTTCCTGCACGGCCCATTTCATCTTGCCCCTGTTCTCGTCCTCGGTCACCATCTTCTCCATCCACTCGGGGACGGACTCGTTCTTCTCGGTAAGCTCCTTGTACTGCTTCTTGCACCACTGGAGCGTGGTGTGCTGTTGCATGCGCTCCTGATCACACTCTATACCATCACCCTTCTCCTCCTCCTCCTCCTTCTCCTCCTCCTCCTGTTCCTCCTCCTCCTCTTCTCCTCCTCTTATCCTCCTCCTCCTCCTCCTCCTCCTCCTCCTGCTCATCATCATCATCATCATCATCATCATCATCATCATCAGCAGCAGCATCATCATCATCATCATCATCATCATCATCATCAACACCATCAACAACATCATGATAACCCATCATCATTACCACCACCGCCAACACCATCACCATCACACTCACCATCGCCAGTATCATCATCATCATCCTCATCATCACCACCACCATAATCACAATCACCGTCATCATCAGCAGCATCACCATAATCACCAACAGCATCATCACCACAACCACATAATCATCAACATCAGCATCAGCATCATCATCAGCAGCATCAGCAACAGCAGCATAATCATGAGCATCAGCATGGTCACGATCATCACCATCACAGCCATCAAAATGTTCATCATCATCAGCAGCGTCAGCATCATCAGCATCACCAGTAGCATCATCACCATCAACAGAAACAACATTATCAGCATCACAACCACGACCGCCACCGGCATCATCATCTTCATCATCAGCATCATCATCAACATCATGATCATCAGCATCATCATCCTCATCATCATCCTCGTCATCACCAACACCGCCATCACCATCAGCATCAGCATCAGCATCGTCATCAGCCCCTTCATCATCACTAGTACCACAATCATCATCAGCATCATCAGCATCATCAGCAACATCACTATCAACATCAACATCATCATCATTATCATCATCATTACCAGCATCATCAACATCATCAACATCATCACCGTCATCAGCATCATCATAATCATGGACATCACCATCAACATCACCGTCGTCATCAGCCTCATTACCATCACCACCACCACCACCAACATCATCATCATCATCAACATCACCATCACCGGCAGCAGCATCAACACCATCATCATCACCATCACCATCGCCATCAACGTCAGCATGTGTTTCAGACTCGTCATCAGTCTGATCAGCATTACCACAATCATCTCATTACCACAATAATCCCCATGATCAACATCAACAACATCATCATCACCACCATCATCATCATCACTTCCGTCATCATCATCATCATCATCATCATCATCATCATCATCAGCAACACCATCATCAACATCATCATCATCAACATCAACATCGCCACCGTCATCATCAGCAGCAGCATCAGCATCAGCAACATCAGCATCATCATCACCATTAGCATCATCATCATAATCGTCATCATCATCATCATGGGCGTCAGTATCGTCTCCCTGCTCCCTCCTGCCTCCTCCCTCCTCCTCGTCCCACGTCGCGGCAATCGTCGACTCCCATTCGTGTGGTCGGCCGCCCCTCCCCCGCAAACGCTCCCCCTGGCCGAGCAAGAGGCCACAACAAAGAAGGCCAAAGGAGAGTTGATCACGACTTGCCATGGCATCACGGACTCCATGGGCCTGCTATTCGATGGTCTTCTGGACGACGTTTGAGCGGGCTGTCAAGAACTGGCTCACAATAACTGACCTCCACGTAGTGGAAGCATTCGACATTCCGGGATCGACCGCAGGTAGGTTTCGGGACACGAACGGGGGGCAGCGTTTCAAGTTTTCGCATCGGACTGTTGCGTCGTGTTGTGTGCGTTGTTCCCGTTGTGTTTTTTTTTCTGGCTTCAGGCGCAAGCAAAAGGGGCCTTGTGTAGTCCCTTTGTAGATGGTTACGAATGACTTTCTGGGTGGTTACACATCGATTCCTTGTGTGGGGGGTACACATCTGTTCCCTTTGTGGGCGATTGCAAATACGCTTCCTTGTGTATGGGGTTACAAGTTGATTCCTTGTGCGCGGCGGAGTGCGAATTGATTCCTTTTATCGCGGAGGGGGGAGGGTCAGGCCCGGGGGGGAATGCCCCGACACAAAAACACCTGAATCCACTGGTCCCGGGCGGGCCGAAAAAAAAAGACACCGTGGGTCAGGGGGGCAGTTGTTCGTTCCCCCGTTCCCCCTTCGAACGTCTCCCCCAGGGCCCAGCCACCCGCTAGCAACGCCAGCGACCGTCGGCGCCAGGGTCCGTCGGCAGCACCTCCTCCTCCTCCTCCTCCTCCTCCTCCTCAACCGTTCTGGTTCAGGTCTTCTGGCCTGCGCTTGCAACCGCATGCCTTCAGAACGGCCGAGTGATGTTGCGAGTCTTTCCTGCTCCCACGGGAGCGCAGTGACGATTACTGTGTCACGTGGCTGCAGCCGCCATCCTGCTGAGCCTGGCACTCTCGGTGGGGTGGCGAACAGAGCGGGTGGTGGAGGGAATGCATCCTCTGGCAGCGCGAAGAAGGCGTACAGACGAGCCCTCCTGGCTACGGCTTCGTGTTGCAGGAAGCATCCTGTTTCAGGGCTGGCGTGGTGGAATCACGGTGGCGCAGCCACGTGTTCGAAATTCGGGCTTGCGGAAGGTGTCGCTTTCTTCTGCCCCCGTCCCGTCCTTGGTCCTTCGAATAAGGCGGGAGCAGGCGGCAGCGGCGGCAGTTCGGCCACGGGTAAGTTCACCGACGCGCCTTGGCAGCAGCTACATCGCTCGACCATTGCCAAACTCAAGCTGGCCACGGTCAAAATGGCCAAGGCAGAGGTCAAGGACAGTGACACCATGGACACCGATTTGCAGGCCTCCGATGCTGATGAAGTTCAGGAGACGAAGGAGCGCCTCAAGGATTCGACGAAGAGCGCCTTTCTGGCCCTTCGGACGTCTCTTGAGGGTGAACGGGCCAAGCTGCGCTCGGATGTCGCGGCCGCTCGCTCCTTGGGCGCGCGGCTCCTTGACCTGGCGCAGCGCTCGCTCGAGGCGGAGAAGAAGCGCCGCGCGCAGGACGCGGCGATGGCGCAGATGACGCAGCAAATGGAAGTTCTCCAGGCCGAGCAGTTGGACCGGCAGAAGATCATCCAGGAGACGGAGGCCGAGCTGCAGGAGACCCAGGCGGGACAAAGCCGTCTGGCTTCCCTCGTCGCCCAAGCCGGAGGGAGCGCGGAGCCCACGTCTCCCGTCGCGGGCCTGGGCGCCACGGTCGAAAGCTCCTCCTCTCCTCCTCCCTCCTCCTCCTCCTCCTCCTCCTCCTCCTCCTCCTCCTCCTCCTCCTCCTCCCTCCTCCTCCTCCCTCTCTCCTCCTCCTCCTCCTCCCTCCTCCTCCTCCTCCTCCTCCTCCTCCTCCTCCCTCCTCCTCCTCCTCCTCCTCCTCCTCCTCCTCCTCCTCCTCCAGGGACTGCGCGCCCCCGACGCGGCCAGGCAGGGGCCAGGCAGGAGCGAGGTCAGGCAGGGGCCAGGCAGGGGCCAGGCAGGCAGGGAACTGCGCGCCCCCGGCGCGGCCAGGCCGGAGCGAGGTCAGCCGCGACGTGCCGACGCTGCGGGTGCACCTGCCCCTCCTGGTGCCGGCCCTGCCGGCGCTGGCCTCCGCGCAGGTGGCGCTGGCCCAGCGGCTGCCGAGGTGGGGGCCCCCATCGGGGCCGCGATCCGGGAGGGCGAATTCGCGGGCCTGGGCGCCGACCCGGGGGACATCAACAGAGGCCTCCCAAATGGGGTCGGAGTAGATGGGGTCGGAGGATCGCGCCGCATCGCCGATGCATCGCCGGCGTGGGTGCTGCATCGGCGACGTCGACGTAAGGCAAGTCGGACTCTGCATATAGCCGCATATAGCCGCATCGGCGATGCATCGGCGATGCGCCGCGATCTTTCGACCCCACCTACTCTGACCCCATCTAGGAGGCCTAGACTCAAGGTTTCTCATCGTTGGGATGGGGGCCGCGCCTGCCTCGGACGACGGCGAGGCGCGGGCGCAATGAAAACGCCGAAGAGAAAGACTTGGCAGGAGAGGCGCTGAAGCGCACCCGCACGGGGCGGGATGTCGACCCGATGGGTGCCACTCCTGTGCGCGGCGACCTGCGTCCGGGGAGGGCGCGCGACACCCGCGCTGGTTCTTGGTGCAGGACCTGGGGCGCAGCGCGCAGTGGCCTCTTCCTCGTTTGCTCGGAGGGCTTCGTCTGCTGGGCGAAATTCCTCGCCGCCCCCCGTGACCCGGACTGGTGGTCCATTTCCTTGCCAGGCACGTTGCATTGACGCGTTGCTTCTGGTAGCGCACCCCACGTCGAGCTTGGTCGCAGAGCATCGGATATGTCGACGCTCGACAAAGCGCGGAGGACAGCGGCGTCGCCGTCAGGGGCCAGGTCGTCACGGCGAACGTCTCGGATGGCGAGCAGCTGGTCAATGAATCGCAAATGTGCGCTGGCACTGCGGTTGCAGCGCAAGAGCACAGGGCGGGCGAGGTTCACCTTCCCGACCTTCAACGGCGCGCGGCGAATAAAGGCTGGCAGGGCGTCTGGGCGGCTGTTGGTGTCACTGACAAAGGTGGCTTCTCTGGTGGGTTTGCGGTCTTATCTCGTGGCCGGGCTATGATTGCAGCGCCCCCTTGTCGCACCGACCCCGTCTTGGTTCCAGGCGGGGCGATGGGGGCTCGGGCGCGCTGGGGCTTGCCGGGGGGCCCAGTCGTTTTCGCGATTTCTTTTTGGCGGTCGGCGAGGGGCTGCCCCCCTCGCAATGTTCTCCTATTGCCTGAGGTGGCATCCTACGCCGCCGAGCTCGAGCTCGCGGCCCGCGGGCTCGCTTGGCTAATGTGCTGAGATGTCAACATGGAATACGAAGAGCTGGGCGATCTGTCTTGGCTTTACACATTGGGAGGGGCGGTGGCTCTTGCTCGGGGCACCACGCGCAGGCAGTCCACCCCTGGCAGCCGCATCGACATGTCCATGGTGTCCGAGATGCTTCTGACCAAAACCAAGCCGCCTGTTGTCATGGAGGACGCGGGCGCCTTCCCGCATGTTCCAGTAGCCTTGGAAGTGCCGGGACAGGAGCGCCAGCTATGGGCGAGGCAGCTTGCTGGACCACGGCCAGTGCGGAAGG